TTTGGAATGTAGCAGCATCTGCGTGGATTTTGGGAGTTCCTCAGCTTTAACAAACTTTCAGTCCGGCTTTTCTTCCAAAAACTCCTTTTTAGTCTTAAGGTACCTCTCGCCAGCACATATCAAACCATAATATCCATCTATAAATGGTTACCTTCGTAACGAGTTGCACAAGGAGCCTCGTCGATAAGTTTAGTTACGGCATGTTTTATTGCCCCAAAGTCATTCTCAAACACAGATATTTATTGTTTCAGAATGACTACCGTCTCTATCCCACTAAAAGCAACTTTGTAGTTGTCGCTGAACCCTCTTTGTAGAGTCAACAGCAGTTCTGCTTTTTCGTGTTTATTTCCGTCTATGCTCTATTTTGTTTGTTTTATCCGTCGATCCAGGGTCGATGAATTTTGCATCTTTTTTAGTACCTATTCAACAGGTATGCATATTGAGTTCTGCGTTCGAGTCAATCCCTCAAACTCCTAAACTGCACTACTCCTTCTGCCGGAATCCATCACCCTATTAGCTATTGGGACTCGTCGTATTTGGTGTGGTAGATCCATTAGCCGAATCCCTTCCGGATGAAATGTAGGTTGAGCCAAAGAAAAGTAATGACGCACGACCACGTAGGGTTATTATCGTGTATGGTTTGTGTTACAAAATTAAAACTTATAACAATTAATAATTAAAAGTAGACCCAATTTTATACAACTAAAATACTGTGTACTTCTTATGTACTAAATACTATGTTATGTACTAAAATACCATGTACTTGTTATGTATTTGTTGTGTCCTAAAATACTTAATGGCATATTAGTGGCATCTTAATACAATTATTATTTTTATTGGGAATAAGCCACAATTAAAGTTTACTTTTGGCGTTTGAACGATTTCCACTTCGGAAATCGTTCTACAAATGCATTGATATACTAAACATTAATATATTAAATAACTTTTGTTTTTTGTTTGGTTCTGTCACCGCAAATTTTGCAATCCGAATTACTTGTCCTTGAATATATTGCATGAAATAAACCATTTAAGCGGATTGCATCTTCCGGGGTTTTCCCAAATCGTTGTCGAGCAGGATTTTTGAAAGTGGCTGTCAATTGTGCAACCAACGCTTTTCTAAAATTTTTTGAACGATAAGTTCGAGGTACGTTATTATGCATCTTGTATAGAAGAAAGGCATTATTAAGTGTTACTTCTAGCATCCAGAAGAATAATTTTCGCCACCATTTGCTTGATTTTCTCATAAAAGCATAAGAAGTAGCATAATGATCTGCTACGTCGACACCACCCATATATTTATCGTATTCACTGACAACTTTTGGTTTGGAATTGAAAAAAATCCAACTCTATAGTGCCTTCTAAGTTTCGCGGACAATGAAATCCAATGTCCTGCGAAAAAGAAAATTCTTTGAATTTTGTATTGACTGATTCCCATGTTTGCCATATTTCTTCATCTTCTTCAGTACTTTCATCACTCTCCTCCGGTTCCTCATTTTCGAACATTAAATTGTCTTCAATTTCCGATATGTCGGATTCTGAAGTACTTTCCCAACCCCGGTTATCGATTTCAACATTATTATCCTCATCACTGTTATGTAAATAGTAATCTAGTTCGTCATTACTTAAAAATCCTCCTCTAGACATATTTTCAAATTCAAAATAACAGAAATATTAAAAAACGTAAACAGAACGACTTCAGCAACAACGTGTAGTACAGCACTGTATTCAACCACAAATAACAACGTACTGAATAAAAGTAAACAACCGTTTTACTTCTAAATGGCGCGATTTTAGCATAAAGAACAAGAATCGATTACTATTTTTATCGATATATCGATATTCCAGTAATTGAACACAGAAAAACTTTTGTCATGCTGGAGATGCCTACGACTGAATCTAAAAATTTAGCGTGGCATGTCTCACATGCCAGACGACCTATAGGACTAGATTATGGCAAAATTAAGCGACCATGGTGAATGATCGGGTCTGGCATTATATACATGCCTACGACCTCAAAGGGTTAATGAATTTTACATTAATAATTTAATTTTATCTGACTTATTCATATTGACAATTTGGACATACATTATACCTACATTTTAAAATAGACGACTTTAAAATGATATCGCCAATATTGTTGAGTTGCGTGCCTGGGATGACTTTATTGTAAGATAGTTCATTCGATTACATGAAATCAACTGTAACTTGAGAATAACTGTCAGAAAAATCATAGCATGTGATTCGTCTTTAAAAAGACAACCACAACTAATTAAACTTAAATTATGTCTTATTCTCAATGAAAATATTAACTAAAATACTATATTTTTGATAGAAGTTTGTAGTCTTTGAGGAAGGCGAAATTATTTTTGTATCACTGTCTGTTTCAAGATTACTTTTTAGTATTGGTGGTATATTGTACATTTTGCTGTGTTTGAGATAGTACGTGCACTTTTTGCCATTTTGTCTCCAACCTTATTATCGTGTGATGGTCATCATCATCATCCAGCCTCAAAATCCCACTGCTGAACATAGATCTCTTTCTCATGTTTCCAACCACATCTATCTTGCGCCACTCTCGTCCAGTGTTTATTTGGTATTTTTAAATCGTCAGCCCATCGTGTAGGTAGTCGAACGACGCTTCTCTTGTTCTCCCTTCGTCTCCACTCCAATAAGCTATTTGTCCATCGCCCATCCGTCATTCTAGCTATGTGTCCTGCCATTTCCGTTTTAGTCAAGCTATCCTCTCAATGACGTCAGTTACCTTAGTTTTTCTCCTGACCTCTTCGTTTTTTATTTTGTCTCGCAGAGTTATTCGTTACATGGATCGCTCCATTCTTCTCTGTGGGGCTCTTAGTATGGTAGCCGAGGCTTTTGTTAAAGTAAGTGTTTTGGTCTCCGTATGTCAAGACTGGGAGGACGCATTGATCAAATACCTTTCTCTTCAGGCATGTGGGCAGTTCACTTTTAAAAGTTTCTCTCATTTTTCCCTATATGCTGCCCATCCAAGACGATTCTTCTCTTTAGTTCATAAGTCTGATTATCCCTGCCAATCATAATTTCATGTCCTAGGTATTTATATTTATCTACGAGTTCTACTTTTTGCCCACCAATACTGATGTTCTGGTTGGGTACCAAATTTGTCATTATTTTTGTTTTCGATATGTTTATATTTCTTCTTCTTCAAATGCCATCTCCGCGGCGGAGGTCGACAATCATCATCGGACTTTTGAGACGGCTGCTCTGAAAAGTTCATTTGATGTACATCCGTACCACTCTCTCAGGTTACGCAGCCATGACATTCTACGCCTCCCTATGCTTCTCTTTCCTTGTATCTTTCCCTGCATAATCAATTGGAGCAGGGTGTATTTCTCTCCACGTGTAATATGTCCGAGATATTCTAATTTTCTTGTTTTTATTGTATTTAAAATTTCCATTTCGTTATTTATTCTACCCAGAACTTCTTTGTTTGTGACGTGTTCTGTCCACGATACTTTCAATATTCTTCTGTACACCCACATCTCGAATGATTCCAGTTATTTCATTGATGTTGCATTCAGGGTCCAAGATTCCAGTTTATATTCAGTCCAACATTTTTTGTAGCCACAACGAATTCATGTACCAATCTTTCTTGCCATTTCTAAGTCCTTAGCTATTACAAATATATAACATCGGCGAAACGTTGTTTAGATATTCTTCATCATCATCATCTTTGGCTCGACAATCCTCTGTAGATCTTGGCCTGCTCTAAGATTCGTCGCCATTCTGTTCGGTTTTTGGCAACATGTTGCCATCTTCTGATTTTTAATATTCGTAAGTCGGTTTCTACTCCATCTAACCACCTAATTCGCGGTCGGCCTTTACTTCTTTTTCCTACAGGTGTTCCTGTGGTTAGCTTTTTAGCAATGGTATTTAGATATTCTTCATCTATTTTTATTCCCTTTGTCAGCCAATCGAAATTCTTAAAAGCATGTTCCAGTACAGTATTAAAATTTTTAGGTGATACTGGGTCTTCTTGTCTAACACCCTTGATCACTTGTCTAATAATCGGATAAAAATATGGTGGGATTAGACAAGGGTGGAATGTGATGGTACTAGATAAAATTTCTTTTAATATTTTTATTTCAGTATCTTATTAATTTTCGGAATATTTTAGTTTTTTTTTAGGAGATGGAGTGGATAATTAGAACAGAGTTGGTTTAAAGTCATTTTTGAACTGAGTAAATGTAAAGTGTTTCTATTTTTATTGCGTTTGCTATCAGGACTAGTGCTTTTAGTATAGCAAACAGTTCAGCAGAGAACTTTAATGTAGATGAAGGTCATTCGTAAGCTGCTGTATAATCTGATCAGTAGATTGCAACCCCAGTTTCGTCTTAATTTTTACCGGTAACAGCTACTATATTTGCTTAATAGTTCTTGATTAATTTGACTTGATTCGTTTAGGTGCAATAGGCAGTCAGTCTAGTGAAGGCAAATTGTCTCCAAGAAATAAGGGTTTAGATTAAGAAAGTATCGTAGGCGTCTGGAAAATTGGTACCAATTTTTAACAAGTAAGTCTGTAGGCGGTAATAGAGAGGGAAACTTCGATTTGAAGTTTAGAAAATAACTTTTAAAGCGGGCAGCAAATACGTTGTGCATACCTGCAGCATAAAAAAGACTTATATATGGTCTCTTCTAAATGTGAGTGGAATCTCTTCACTTTCTCAGTATAGAATTTGGATTGGACTTGTGGAGACTGCTCCTCAAGGAGATTTGAAGACCTGTAGTTCCGAGTAAGATTGAGGGTTAATCTTTAAGAGAACTATTTTTTTTCACTTTTAATTTTGATAACTATTTTATCTTTCATTGCTTTAGTTATCTTTCTCTTATCACGTTTTATTGTATAATATACTACACATTACTAATTTCATATTAAACAAAATGTAACTAGTTTAAGGTCGGTTAAAACTCCTCCTCCTCCGCTCCTCTATAAACTACTTTTTTTTAGCGTTTTCTTGTTTTAGGCTACAGATGAGACGCAATTGACAGATGCCTTAAACAAAGCATTAGAAATCGGATATCGTCACATTGATACTGCCTCTGCGTATAACAATGAGCATATAATTGGAAAGGTTTTGAAAGAGTGGATCTCATCGGGTAAACTAAAAAGAGAGGACATTTTTATAACTACGAAACTTAGCAGTGTCGACATGTACTCAGATAAAGTAGAAAATGCCCTAAAAACATCATTACAAAAACTTCAACTCGATTACCTAGACTTATACTTAATACACAATCCTATTGCAATGAAATATATAAACCAAAAGATTGTTACTCAGCCAACTGATTTAATATCCGTTTGGAAGGTAGGACATTTCTTTTCTTATTTTATTTTTTCTTTTAAACTTTAATTTGTACGTAATTATTCCACTATTTCTAATATACATAGCGTCAACTTGTTACTTTATATTTTTAGAAAATGGAGGAGCAAGTCGATGCCGGAAGAGCTAAAACAATTGGATTGTCAAATTTTAACATCTCTCAAATTGAAAGGATTCAGAAAATTGCCAGAATTCCGCCAGTAAATTTGCAAGTAGAAATTCACGTATATTTTCAGCAACCTGATTTACGTGAATTTGCTAGAAAGAACAATATCACAGTGGTTGCTTACTCACCTTTAGGAACTCCTGGTGTAAAGAAATTTTTCGAGTCAAAGAATTATAAGTAAGTTGAGTACAAAAAAAAGGATTTAATTTCTTATTTATAAACCATTTTAAACAATATCTATCTACATATATAGAACTATCTACAACTAGAAAAGAAAGTTATATTGAACCCATACAAGATCGATCGTACTCGATATTAACAATATACAAAAAGCTCTTGTAACAAGGCTAAATTTAACCTTTTCAATGTAAGTTCTGCCAAAGCTAACTTATCGTGCGGAAAGTTTGTGTAAACTGATTAAGATCATTAAAACCAATTTGGGATAGAGACAGAGTTCGCTACAAGGGACTTTTTTCTTTTATGTTTTATGAGTCACTCATTTCTAAATCTTCTCTTTGGCTCTTTGTCTATTTTGTTCCCATGAGTTGGGACGAAATACTGTCAGGCATGGGAGTACGCCTATAAATTAAGACCATTTTAGGGTAGAGACAGAGTCTGAGGCAGGGGCCTTTGTTCTTTTTTCTTTTATATATTTTTTTAGTAGACTCAGAAGAGTCAGCCATTTATGAATCCTCTTTTTGTCTTTTTTCCATTTGGTTTCCATGATTGGGACGAAATACTGTTAAGCATGGCAGTGCGCCAACAAATTAAGACCAATTTGGGGTAGGGACAGAGTTCGCGACAGCTGACTTTTTTTCTTTTTTTGCTTTTATATTTTATTGGTAGACTCAAAAGAGTCACTTATTTCTGAATCTTCTTTTTGTCTATTATGTTCCCATGCGTTGGGATGAAATACTGTCAAGCATGGCAATGCAACCATAATATGCCAACACTGTAATCCCATGAGTTCGCCAGCTCTCTGGAACATTAAGTAACATTGGCGTTCTGGTGATCATGATGTAGGAATGGATGTAAGTATATGTAAGTGAGTGTGTCATGTTTAATCGATAGATCTACAAATGCTGCCCAACATAATATTACCGGTTGACACGCAAATATTAATTTTTTTATTATACCCTATTCACATCTGTTCCATTGTTCTATATATCCAGAGAACGTTTCCTGTAGAATATGACAACCAATCTGTCCTGTATGTATTCCTACTCAACATAGACAACCCCGCTCACAGTCTAAGACCGATGCGTATCTAGATACGTAACATGTTACAAAAAAATATTCATAATAAAATGAAGAAAGTTCCAAAAAAGTGATCATTGGCATTATATACGAAAATAGTATTACGTATTAGACATAAAGCATCGTGTTTTCAATTCAAGCAAAAATAAAACGGGCGACTGATTTAAACAGATAAGGAGATAGTGGAATCCCAGGAGACAGTGTTGGTAATTTATGAAATAATAACCGCACAACTTGGTTACAGTAATACAGTATTGACAGGACGTGATATTATTTTCACTCCGGATATGGTTACTTTGATTTTATCGCTTCTCTGACAATATTCCGCGTAATCATTCTCTTTAAATGTATTGAGGTATAGACTTTTTTGTCTTTGTAGAGAGGTCTGGAATCTTCATAAGACATCTCAGTTCAGGACTGACCTTAGTGCAAAATTCGTTCTTCGTAGTCCCGGCGATAGTTCCTGAGATACTTACGAAGACCTACCCGCTAAATCAGACCCCCCTCTGTCATCCAGTAATCTGAAAGCGAAATGGCCGCTGTAAGGCGGAGTATCAACGCTACCTCCATTATCCACAGACTGTCAGCAAGGAGGCTCCCTGTCCCTTTTCCCTATTTGCGCTTTTTTGATTACTAAAACTGTCTTTTTGAGAGGAAAACCGTTCCAAGTACTGCGTGGAATACCCTCATCGCTGCTAATGCGGCATCACTCCCAGCCGGGCACTTCTTCCTTCCCCATAGTCTGACTCACATAGTCTAACTTATACAGTCTAACTAACTTTTAACTCTTACCAAAACGTATTCCTTCAACTTACAGCATCTTTCCCTCTTACCTTTACCGTTGGTCCAGCTTTCTTTTTCCTTGATCATTGCACAGATAAAGTTGTGTGATAAAATCAAATTTCCTAACTCCATTGAAGTGAAAAATACCAAAAAAAAGAATAAGTTTTATAGGATACAGTTATACAATATACGACACGATATTTACATATAAACAAACCTCTAACTCTAACCTAAATTTTTAACGCTTTTACCGATTAGTTGTATCTCTTTCTAAACAATGCCTCCAATTATCTACGTGTATCTACGTGTCTAAAACAACACGTCTGAAGGTGTTGAGTAGAAGCTAGGCCACAGCTACAAATAAGTTGATACAAAACGACAATTGACAGCTTGAAATGGAAGACAGAGTATGACACGTATCGTTTTTTGGCGACTATTGATATCAACATAACACAGGTAACAAACAGTATCTTTGTCTACTGTGCCATATTCTCCGTGTTGCTCGATTCTTCTTTTCATATAGGCAGTTATAGAGGTATAGACTCTGACTAACTACTAACTTTAATTTATGATTAAATAATTGTGTTTATATATTATTATAATATAATAAGTTTTTCGGATATTTTCCATTTTTATAGCAATATAAGGAAGATGTATTTATTTCTTTTCGTATATTGTCTGTGAGTTTTCTACTAACTTATGAAGTAACACATTTTGCAATACTTTTCACTTCAAGAGGCGTAGTCTGTCACTATTTTCCAAAATACTCTTTTATTTTTAACTAAGTTAAATATCGATTATAAGTGATCCTCAATTTTTTGTTATCAGTAGTACTGAAAAGGTCTTCTTTGTTAAGTTATTGTACAAACTAGGATTTTAATTCCATTTTTTTTTATTTCAGTGTAAATCTATCTGTACCAGATATTTTAAACGATAATGTTGTTACACAAATCGCTAAAAAACACAACAAATCTAATGCGCAAGTATTACTTCGGTACCTCGTTCAACTAAATACAGTAGTCATTCCCAAAAGCACGAATCCAAAACGACTAAAAGAAAATTTTAGCATTTTTGATTTTACGTTAGACGAGGATGACATGAATGCTTTAAAGAAACTGGATAGAGGACCAAAAGGAAAAATAGTTAAGTTGGTGGAAATTTTCCCAGAGTAAGTATTTCTATTTAATTTAAAAAATTGAATACTGTGTTTATTACAATGCGGCCAGTTTAAGACCTGTTTCTAAATTTTTATAAAATTTATTGTGTTCAGCTATCGATACATCTATTGGAGAAGCATTTATAGGTTGTTGGGTTTCAGGTAATTCGGTCTGTGATTTTTTTTACTTCTATTTCGTATTTCTTCGTTAATAAATGATAGCCATATTTCACCAAAAGGGCTTAACATCTGTAAAACGTATCGAGTACTACTACTCACCATTCCACCTTATACTAGCCTTAAGATACAGCCCTTGGATACCAACATTTTTGGGTCATTTAAAAGATTTTATAATGAAGCAGCCGATAACTAGATGGTTAACAATCCTGCACAGCTGATATCCTTAAACGAAATACCTGAATTGTGGAAAGTGTTTATTGTATTTGTAGTAGAAGAATTGTATTTGTCCATACAATCCTGCTGTATTTAGAGATAGTGATTTTACCAGTGTGGAAATTACAGACCGGCCAGATCCATCTCAAGCTTTATAGGCTACAGAAAATTTACTTTTGGCTACCCCTCATACCTTGCAAAATAATCCAAATGCATCTGTAAGCCCTGAGGTAATAATGCCATTTCCGAAAGCTCTTTCACATAAAAAGAAAGCTGGAAGGAAATTTAAGAAAACACAGATTTTAACGGACACCCTCGAAAAAGACCAAATAGAAAATGAATTTGAAAAAAAGCCAAATAAACGAGCAAGATTAACATATATATATATATATATATATATATATATATATATATATATATATATATATATATATATATATATATATATATATATATATATATATATATATCCGTACCTCGGAGGTAAAGGACACTATGTCCATTTTCTTACTTTTTCAGGAGAGCAGTTTTAACATTTTTTAAATTTTTAATCAGTAAATACTCAAATATTTCTTATATTTAACCAAGATTAATATATTATTATTGTAGTGTGTATAATCGTTTTTCCTTCCATGAAGTGTTATGTAGCTGAAGTTTACCGTTCATTTTATATTTTTTTTTAATGTGTAGTTGGACATAGTGTTGTTTACCTCTAATAACTTTTTTAAATAATGTGACATTGCATGTTAAGGTCTCTACGAAATAAACAATAGAAATACACTAAACAGCCTATACTATTATTTTATTAGAGGTAAATATTATAATGTTATAATAATTAAATTAAGAAAAGTTAAATAAAGTAAAATTATGGACAAGTTTCAAAATTGTTAAAGAGGCTCCATATCATCTGCATCTTCTTGTGGGTAATCGTTTGTGGCTACACCGCTATGTGTTAAATTTTGATAAAGTGCATGACAAACTGACGGAAAAAGGCAGTAAGGTAATGAAGTCATTAAACTTTTGTTTTCTGATTGGTAATGGGTTTACTGAGGCTTGATTTAATTGAGCTGGAAACATTAATTGCTGTCTTAGATACCTCATAAAGTGCACTTCATACATATTTTGATTATTTAAATCGGTATTATAAAAGAGCTTCCCAATGTGTTCTTGTTGAACTTGTAAGAGTCAACACATGTTGACAGTAGAACAGGATCTTCATTAACATTCTTTTTTCTACTTACAAAAGGATGATTAAGTGACAATTTCTTATCGAACAGTATTTTGAAGTTTTTAAAATCTGCAAGTTCCATATTGTGCACTGTGTATTTACCTGATGTTTGCCTAACTAGCTGTTGCCAGTTCCATTGCGTTAAAATGGCCGAATTGAAGAGTTTCTTTTTGTTTCTCTCGATTAAAGCATAAACACTGTCTGCTTCCATATGTGTGTGCCCTTTCAGTAAAAACTTTTGAGTGATCGTCTTTATTTAAGGGTATATACGCAGTATCCAAAAATAGCACATTATAACACTTATATTTTTATTTTGTTCATAGCAGTTATCGGTCCAAAGAGTGATGTCCTTTACTTGACTACCTGGAATTGTATTGTCAGTCCATTTCAAAATTCACGAGGCAATTTCATTTGCACCTCGAAACCCTTTCGATTCGTCCCACATCATACATTGTACAGAAGAATCACTGCTTCTACAAAAGCTTCGCTTTTGTAGAAACTAATAAAATTGTGAAAGCAAACATTTTTACAAATCACCAGACAGTACTTTGTGTTGTGGTGACTCTTTAACCATTAAAAAGTCCAATTGTTGTAAATTATACCAAGTTTTAAATTCAGTTAGGTGAGTATCATGATTAGCCTGTACACTGGTTAGTTCATCTGCAGTAAGATTATTTTTCAATTGAGCTGTGAATGTATTGCATGTATCTCAAGTGTCTATTTCGGGTTTCCAAGTTTTCAAACGAAAACTTGGAAATCTTTATTAAAAGTATCTGCGTCGAATTACTTTTTTACTCTGAGCTTTGGATCTACATGTATTTCATTGCATCATTCATCAAAGTACAGTTGATACAACTTTTCTATCGTAAGTTCTGTGCCAAGATAATCTCTCTTACTTCTTTCTCTGGAATAATAAATCTCGCACTTTGGAAATGATTTAATATGTTGATGTATTCTATTTATGGTTTCGGTAGGAGTTTTATTGATTAGCGTGTGTCTACCTCTTTGATCAGCTTTTATTAAACCTCCTGGCTCAATTTTTTTCAACATATTTACTACTACTAAATTAGATATACAAATTGTGTTTAAAAAAATAACCTTACACACCCTCAATCGCCGATTGTTCTCTGTAAAAAGGTAGTGTAGTGTATTATTTTTAGATTTGGTAGAATTGATTTGGTAGTATGAGTTGAAAATTTTTTGTCTTTCGTATTCTGCCAATCTTTTAGAGCATTTCATGCGACACATGCAAGGAAGCTTTAAGATGTTTGCAGGCATGTTTTTGCCTTTTTTACTAAGATACTCTTTCCCACCAGCTATTTTTGATTTGCGAACATTACAGACCCAATTTTGTTCATTTACTACACGTTTTTTGTCTTTTTCTTTGCACTTAGTTACATTTTGTATCTTTCTTTTAACATTTTTCTCTTCTTCTAAAATAACTTCATTATGTTCATTGGAATTGCCTGCATCGCTGCTTAGGAATAAATCGTCCTTAAGAAGATCTTTTGTTATTGCCACAGTAGTCGTAGGAGTAATAATAGCTTTCTCTTTTATCTTTGTTTTCGCTGGTTTACTTATACGTCTCATATCATTGTCATCTGATTTTGAGTTTAGAGGCTCATAGGTTATATCAATATCCGAATTATCATCTCCAAACAAATTATCATCTTCGTACACTTCCTTACCATTACCTTGGAAGTTACTGTAATGACCAGGTGGTAATGAAACAAATCCAGCCTTGAAATAATAATTATAGACTAATTTTATAGGCCTATAATTGGCCAACACAAAAATAATCCTTATAACCAAAGACCGGAATTTACTGAGCAATTTCCGTTACTTCCTTTAAAAAAATATAGATCTGGCAACATCTGTTTACCCTAATCTGTTGGTATCAACAACAACAATAATTTTTGGGGTACCGGTTACGCCTAACGGTAAATAAATTTTACCCAATCTCTTGTAGTATTTTGTTAATACGAGTATATATTGATAATTGCTTGGTAAATTCCTGTCTATGCCTACAACACAATAATATAAATAAATGAAATGAGGTTGAATGCTCGAATAAATGAACTTTGAAAATAAGGCTATTATCGAGCACAAGTTAATTAAATCAAGCCCAAGTACTTTCGCTTATAATAGCATCTTCAGGGGCATCTGAAATAAGCCAAGAAAACGTTTTTTAGATGAAGTAAATTAGTTAACTTCGATAAAAAACTCGAAGTTAATGGATGAAAAAAAGGTTTTGAGATTAACGTTTTAGACTTACTTCGTCAAAATAAGATCTATCCAGCAAGCGTAGGAAGTGGAAACATTAAAACTAACATAAATTATACAAAACACTACACTAAAACGAGGACAAACAGTTTAAAATTGCTTCTACGCTACATTCTCTGTCAGTTTCTGGAGGGATAATGATCTAAGCGGAAATGATACGGTGACATATGACATATGACAACTTTGATAGACAATCAAAGTTATGGATCTGTGATCAGCAAATATTGAAATTCTGTATAAGTTGTCATTGGCCAAAGGTACAACTAGAACTACTATTTAAAAATCAGCTGATGACGTATGACATGTAGAATATTTTGATTTAAACTAGATTGCATAATCCAGATCTCACACTCACACCCGTCTGTAATAATAGAGAGTTAAAGTGCAGGTGACACGTAAACGTTAACACTAACGTAAACGTAAAGATATTACGTTTACGGACACTATACGTTTTAGCTGTGAAGTGTAAAACGTTAACGTCTAACGTGTGTTTCTAACCTTACTTTTACTCAAATTTGTTGTGGATTAATTACAAATTTGAATGATTAGACAGTGTCCTTTTATATTTTTTTCCTGGTTTGGTTAGTTTTTTATGAAATATTTTGATTGCTTTTACAGCAGAATGGAAGATATCTTTAATATTTGAAATGTGTGGGGAATCTGATTTCGAGGATGATGACATGTACGATGCTGTACTTCTACATGTATTTGGTAATAACTTATTGGAAAATTGATATCCGTTTTTTTTTTCGATTTTTTTCACTATTTTTAGATTACAATAATACAAACAAAAGATGAATCTTTGGTTAAAATCACAAAACAACAAAAAGTTTTTAATTTTCGGAGATTTGACAGAAATTCGGTAATACTCGGAACCATCCGAACAATTTGGATAACGTTAAGGGAATCCGTAAACGCACGCAAGGTTACGGAGACCCGTTAACGCAAACGTATGTATTCCTCTACTGCGCACGAGTAGCTGTCAAATTATACGTTAACGTTAACGTTTTGCCCTGCACTTTAACTCCCTAATAAGGTTGTAGGTTTGAGGCTAAATGAAGTGTACATAAAGTGTGAATGAAAGAAATAGACCAAACGATCTATTGGA